TCTCCCTCTCCCTCTCCCTCACCCCTCTGGGGTTTCCTGGCTGGATTTCTCTCTCAAAGACCAAGCCTTAAACCCAATTCATTCAGGAGCACAGAAATTGGACAACAACAGGTCCCTGCCCAAGCACCACTTAATGGTTATTTTTTGGGCCCTCCTTGCTCAGAGTGAATATAAATAGTAACTATTTCTCTTTTGGCCAGCAACACTGAGCATCTTCCCCTCCCAGTTTGATTTTTTTTTTATTTATTAAAGGGGCCATCCTTTGACTCACTTTTTAAAGAGGCCTATTCACTGAATGGGCTTTACCTCACTCAAAGTGAGAACCTGAGAAGACCTTAGCTTAAAAAGGCCAGGGTCTCCCACTGCATCCTGGGCCAGCTCCAGTCGTCCTGATGAATATCTGGCCCACTGGACCCAAATGGCGCTGGAGGAGAAAATGAGGCTGGTGACCTTGCACAGTCCTCCCTCACTCAAATCAGTCAATTGCAAGTCAAGTCATCATCTCCCTGATGTCATGGTCCTCTTCGGGGATGAAGGATGAACACAATAACTACTCTTGCCCTGAAACAACCCCCATGGAGAAGGTAGGTAAGAGCTAGGAAAGATTCAGCTCTACCTCTTCCTAGAATAAAAAAGGGAGCAAAAGGACCAAGCATTGGCTTATTAAACTGGTCAACTCTACCCTCTATAGAGATACTCATCAACATTAGTAATCCAGGTAATACAGAAAATCTACCTGATCTAAACACGCAAGGATTCCTTTTTTTAAATACTCCCCTCTGACAGGGTGAAAGAGTGTGATAGTCAACACACAAAATGAGGATACTGTTGGAAAAAAAAAAACATGTTCTAACAGGCAAGTGATTTTAATGTGCTTCAAGTATTTAATACCTTGTTATATAGTTAGCTACAAAGAAAATACAGCAACATGCGGGAAATTAATCCAAACAAAGAGAGGTAAAATGCAGAGAGCTGCAAGTGTGTTAAAAGAAAAAAAATACAAATACAAACATGATTTTTGAAACCACAGCTTCCCCTCCCCCCTTACCCATCCCTCACCACCAGATTTGTCACTTATGGACCAACACAACTCCGAAGACTTACCTAACCACTCAATATCCTAAAAAATGTCAGGGAAGTAAGTGGTAGAAGAAGAGATTAGCATCTCATTCAGTACAAACAGCATCCATACCATTGCTTCCACTATTAACAGAAATTAGAACCTAAGTGTGTAGTAACTTTCAAATATTCAAGACATCTCTTTCTGTTGTTCATTCTACAACAAACCAAGTTGGTCCACCTCCAGCATGGCCCTCTTCCTCTCCCCTCTAAGACTTTATGTTCTTGCAACCATTCACAGAGAGCCCCTCCTACGAGCAATAACTTGAGAGACTAGGGCCACCTCAAGCCCTCCATCCTAACCCTGTTTAAAAAACAACAACCCCCCCAAAAAACCCCAAAGAAATGAACATTTTTAAACCTAAAGATATAGACAATGAGTCTGTGAAGTGCAAGCAAGTTTTAATTTCATAACTTTTATTTTCACATTATTGAGACTGAGAAAAAAAAACGTATGTAAGTAGATGGGTAAGACTATGCCCGTTCACAAAAAGTCAGATCCTACCTAGAGAGGTAAACATATATAAGAAACGTGATACGCCAATCAATTGAGCCATGAATGTTTACCCAGTGCCCAACGTGCTCGAGGCACTGAGCTGGGTGCTGGGGAGGTACTGAGGAAGTAGTTTAAAGAAACAAACTTCTCGACATAATAACATTTTACGGTAGTATAAAAAGTCCTCTTGGCAAATTGTCAATGGCCATACAAGTAAGCAGCATTACAAAACCGAATTGCCAGGGTCAGGCCCCTAATGTAATCATGCACTTTGCCCCATCTGGCATCATGGGCAGGCTGCATCACACCACAATAATTAGAGCCAGGGAACAAACCACTAGACAGCGGGCTCCAGGCAGGGCTCAAAGGGTCCTCAATGCTGAGCAGCATTCCAGGGGAGAACTCAGCAGGCAATCTAGAGGCAAGGTATTAGCAAAAGGTGTGTTATACAAAAGTATCAAAACATTTCAAAAATTCTAAAACCTGCTGGGCAGACACACACTTTGTGCTCTGGCATCTTAGCTACTTGTGTGATCATGAGTATTTCCTACAACACAGGAATTTCTGCTGGTGTAATGTATGGATAATCTGCACCCCAGCAAAAAAAAAGAACAGAAAAACAAAGCCCAACTGCACCATCTCTATCCATGGACATTCATGATTGAACTTGGTGAGATTTATTAAACAGTCAATCACTGCATCTAAATAGCTGTGACTATATCTCAAAACTGGGTCCACGTCCTCAAAATAGAGCTGAGAAGTTAGAAGAGCGAAGGGCTTTTAAGGTGCTGCTCTAGCATGTATTGGATAAACCCCTGTGCTACTGATGGTCATAATGAAATACGAGAGCCTGTATATATACCTTAATAGCAAGATCACAGTGAATCCTACCAGATTGGAAGAGTCATTTCTCAGAAAGTTCTGAACTGTCACTGAGGTGTCACTCTATATGGATCATAGGATCTAGAGATGAAAGAGACCTTGGAGTCATTCTAGTTCATGCCACAATCCTGCACCCCTCTGCACCATCTTACAATGGAAGAAACTGATACTCATAACCACACATGTACAACCTATATTGAATTGCTTGGAAAGGGAGGGAGAGAATTTGAAACTCAAATTAAAAACAAATGTTAAAAATTGTTTTTACATGTAACTGTGGGAAAAAAATACTAAACAACAACAGCAAAAAGAAATTGATGCTCATCAGTATTCAATAATTTGCCCAGGATCATATGGGTAGCAGAACATGAATTGAAATTCAAAGGCTTTTGCTGCCATATGTAATGCTCCCACAGCTAGGTTGCATTGCCCCTCACTAAATCACACATCCTCATTTGGCAAGCATGCCAGCCCCAGATCTCATAAGCAATGCTGCTCATAAGGTCTGCTCTTAAGAAAGTCATGAGTTCGCAATGAGTCTTGTTGAATTAAATTGAATCAAACTCTGTGCTCTGAAAGCATCTTTTGTCAGTCCTGGCTTGTAGAATTGAACATTCACACAACTGTGAGGTTTGGGTTCCTGCCAAATATTGGAATCATCTAATAAGGCTGTTTTCTAAGATCTCAACTTGTTTAGGTTCATGAAAGGTTCACAAATTGGAGTCAACTCTTTGGTTGAGGGTCATAAAATAACACCCATGGCTTACCCTACATCCTGAATATTTAGTATTACTTTTGGACCAGACAACACTGGGGTCTATACTTTATAGACCAATCAAAATAGCAGCTAGCATTTTGGGATTAAATGATCTCCAAGGTCCTTTTAGCTCTAAATACTATGATTGCTTTTAGAACCACTCTAACCTGATGAAATGGATTTAAAAAAACATTTTTTTAAGCTTGGAGACAGAAAAAGTTCTCCAGGCTTTTCCCCAATATACCACTGCATTTAAGTCTTAGTCACCTCTCTAAGACTGTAAATCACGGAGTCCAATCTTCAGTGGTGGAGGGATGCCCCACCCTGAGAATTATAAATCAAAGGTCTTTAATATATTAACTTATTGACCCAAAACTTATATTTGAACATGGACTTTGAATGCATATCTGACACTAAGTTACATTGCAGGACCTTTGAAAACAAAGTAAGATAAAATATAATCATTTTAAAAATCCACAAAGGATCCACTTGTTTTCAAAGTCAAAGTAGTGATAAGAGTTGACTTTTCAAGAATGTGACTGAAAAATACTGTCTTTCCTTAGAGGTGGCAATTTCCAAGGAGATGAGTCTGGTGGGGAATATTTGTTAACATGAAGTTGCCAAGATTTTTCAGAATATGCATATATGCTACCTATTCTCCAAATCCGACATATATTTGAAGCTTCGTATGTTCTAGTTAATACAGAGCTGCAGTATTCAGAAATGCTGCAAAGTAGACTTTGAATTTGTATTTTAAAAGGAAAAATTCAACCCAAGTGGTTTAATAGAAGGGAACTTCAAAAAACAAAACCCAAAACCAAATAAAGCATGCCTTAATACTGTCAAGGAAGGTGCTGCAAGATATTAGGCTAAAGTCATAATAGCCCCAAATCGAGAGTTCACGACCAAGGCTAACTAATATATGTCACCTTTATTCTAAATAATATACCTAGTTATTATAGGGTCATCTGGAAATAGCTAGGAAGGCTGCCATAACCTTTCTGTATTTCAAAGGGATAGACAGCTTTCACCGCTCACACACAAATCTGAGAGCAGGATGAAGCCAGATTATCTCCCAGTTTCCACAGTCATTCACAGATCCCAAACCTACGGCCTTCCTCCCCACCCTTGAGACTTAGTAAGGTACAAAAAGTCACCGCAATGGTTACGATACTTGAACATGACTGAGGGTGAGATATTGAGTGTAGAAGAGAAGGGAAGGGGAGGGGATGAGCATTTCTGTAGTGCTTATGATGTGCCAGGCACTGTGCTCGATAATTATGCTGCTGAGGAGTCAGCAGCGCTCTAGGGAAGATCGTGAGAATGCTGATCCATTTTGACCCAGGCTGGAAGTCCAGTGTTAGCACCATCAGGCCTTTTTATAGGAAGAAAGGGGCCTGCATAGCTGTTTTTAAAAGCTGCTAAATCACAATTGACCAGTAGAGAGCAGCAGAATCATGTACTGTAGGCTACCACTGAGTACCAGGCTCCTCTTGTCAATACCACTGGACTCAACAGAAAGAGGTGCCTAAAATAGATTTTACAGTACACGAAGCTACAGCACAAGCCCTAATTTGTATTTTTTTTAGAGCTAAAGAGGGAAGTAACAGAAAAGCATAATTAAAAGGAAATAAATTAAGATTTTTCTTCTTTAAAAAAATTTTTTTTAGGCAATTGGGGTTAAGTGACTTGTCCAGGGTCACACAATTATTAAGTGTCTGAGGCCAAATTTGAATTCCAATCCTCCTGACTCCAGGGCTAGTGCTCTATCCACCACACCACCTAGCTGTCCCCCCCCCTTTTTTTTAAAAATCAGATTTGCGATTTCATGGGAAGCTCTGAACTGCTTTGTAACTTATAAGCTTAGAGAACTGGCTGGGGGCACTACTTAGTTAAGTGACTCACACAGCCAATATGTGTCAGAGGCTGGATTTGAATCCAAGTCTTCCTGCCCCTAGGCCAGTACTCTATCTAATATTCTATGTTGCCTTTCAAGCCTTTTGTTACCATGTTTTGGTAGCAATAATAATTCTTTTTTTTTTTAAATCATGACTTTTCTTATCCCAGGCAACCTGAGGTCTTTCAAGAATTACTACATCCTCTTTCCTCTCTTACTTGGGCCCTTGGCATCAGGGCATCAGCCATTTCTAAAAGTTATCAAAAATTCTTGGATATTTTATACTAACCCCTATGAGGAAAATTGACCTGAGAGGGATGGATCATGTAACATTTAGTAGCAGTTTATATGGAATTGTAAAATCATAGATTTATTTCAGCTGGAAAGGTCTTTGGAGATCATCTAGCCCGACCTCCTCATGTTAAAGATGTAACTGAGGGCCCAGAGAAGTTACATGACCTGTCCATGGCTGCAAAGATGAATGATGTCAGAGCCAGTAACTGACATAAACCAGTTACGCTTCCCTACAGGAGGTGCTAAGTATTCATCAGAATCTCTGGTCAGTCCTTCAAGACCAGTGTATGTATGAAAAAATAAGGTTGCTTGTGACATTTACCAAAGTTTTCAGAGAAAGGAATGTAGGTTATGTTAACTCAATGCATTAGAAACGAAGTTGATGCATGAACATATAAAGAGAGGGCTTCATCTATTCATCACACCTGTTTGGATTTTGTGTTTGTTTTTCAAATGACTCCCTATTACCACTTTAGAGTCTGAGGCGATGGCTTTTGAAAGTCGTGATTGCTAATACATACTGGCTGCTCGATAGTCTTAATATTATCCAACTGCATTAAGAACCTATAAGGCATAGTGTGGTAGGGTCACTAACAACAATGTTACTCCTATGGTTTTGTTGTCTATAACGTTTCACTATAGGGCAATTCCTCTAGAAGAAACCAGGCCAGGTGAGTATCTAGACTGAAAGGCAGCAAGTAGAGGGCTGGTGTCAGATTGGCCACTAAGATGCTATGTGAAGATGGGGGGGGTCACCACCTCTCTCTCTCTGGGCCTCAGTTTCCTCATTGGTAAAATGGGGATTATAGATGACCTTTAGGGGAACCTTCCAGACCTATGATCTTACTGCTCCTACTCTGTTTATTTATTCTGCAAAATAATAAGCTACATTACATAGATCTTTGAAAAAGTATTATTCATTGTTATAGAATAAACCAGAAACACAAAAGTAATAAATCGTAGCTAAATGTTACCTAATATGCATTTCTAACTTAAACTGGAATAGCACTTTTCTCTCTTGTAACTCACTAAATTGTGCCAGAAGATTTTGCCCAAGTTCCAGATGTCTTAGCATCTGTACTTCTGTCCCCAAAGTGCTGAAAAAAAAAGTTTGTCATTAAAGAAGCCATTCTTGAAGATGACTTGATAAGGAGTAGGACCATCCCAGCTCAGTCATCGCCCTCGATCCTGATGCCTCTTAGTTTTAGTTTTTTTCTTTTTATCTTCTGGTCTGGGCTTCAGGGCACAAACACAGGCAGATACTCCAGCAATGGCTTTTGGGAGGTCGGTCCCTTTGCACCACTTGTTCTTCTCACGGTCATAAACCTGGACCGTTTTGGAGAAGGTGGTGTTTTCCCAGCTGTAGCCCCCTAGGATGTAAATCTTTCCTTCCCACACGGCCACACCAGACTCACTGTTGGCCTGCAGCAGAGGAGACACTCGTGTCCACTGGTTACACTGGGGGCTATAGGATTCCACACTCAGGATGTCAAAGCGCTCCATGGATTCGATATTGTCATCGCTGCCTCCAATAGAGTAGATGCTGTCTTCCAAGCTGCACATACTGTGCCAACCGCGGGCCGTGATCATGGGCCTCTTCTCTTCCCACACGTCTGTACGGTGGTCATAGCAGAGGAGATTTTTCCGATAAGGGCCAATTTGGTAATCGTGACCTCCAGAGATATAAACAAAGTCCTTATAGATGGTGCCAGCATGGCCATATGTAAATCTAGAAACAGAGAGAAGCTAAGGTCAATATCTTGTCTATTGCACTCTTAGCATCGATTCTACACCAGAATGGAAAACACACCAGACTTGGAATCAGGTGACGATCATTTACTATCTCCTATATTAGTTACCTTGAGGTTATCTTTGACATTTCCTTTCATTTCCAGTTACCAAGTCAAATCCCATCCCTTTCACTTATATGAGTATGACTATGAGCAAATCAGGAAATTTAAAGCACTTGGAAATAATTTAGTCCACTTTATAGATGAGGAAGTTAAGACACAGAGAGATTAAATAACTTCACCCCGGTCATGCAGATAGGAAATAGTTGAAATTTTAGCAAGATCTGAGCCCAAAGCCTGACTCTAAATCCATTATGTAACACTGTAGCTCATTTCATTATATCACTAAGCCTCAGTTTCCTCTTTTGTTATAGTTGATGATAATTGCATTATCCACCTGAATGGGTTATTATGAGATAATTAGATAATTACATATGTATATATAATTATATAATCATAATGTAATGAATGGAAAATACTTTGTAAATCCTAAATCCGTATAAATAAGTAAGCTACTATTGCTAATAGCTATTATTGGTGGCTGTGAGTTTCAGTGTGTATTTCAGTCATTTATTCTAGGTGGGAGTAATGAGAGGCTGTACAAAGGGAGTGGTGGCAGAAATAAAGATGAGGGGATAGTGCATACAGTGGAGACAGAATTGACAGGACTTGGTAACTGATTGGAAATGAGAAGAAAGTCAAAGATTACACGATGGTAACAAATATTGTTTTTTAGTCATTCAGTTATGTCTGACTTTTCATGACCATGCTGTCCAAGGGATTTTCTTTGCAAAGACACTGGAGTGATTTGTCATTTCCTTCTCCAGTAGATTAAGGCAAACAGGGTTAAGTGACTTGCCCAGGGTCACATTGCTAGTAAGTGTCTCAGGCCAGATTTGAACTCAGGTCTTCCTGATTTTAGGACCAGTGCTCTATCCATTGAGCCACCTAGTTCTTAGCTGCCAGTATTTGGTAACACATATATGATATAGTAAAGGATGGTACCACAGCCAGAGAGAGTGAAGTCAGAATGCATGGCGTCTTTTTATCCACCCATTGAGCTGAACAATGCTGTGCACACAGCAGATTGTCAATAACTATTTGATCCACCAACAAGTTTAGGGGTCAAGTGATTTCTTTAAAAATAACCACCTCTCTAAAATATGTTTAGTAGGGTACACCCCAATTTGGACTTAACTGTGTCATGTTAGATCACTGGGGAAGGAATGGATGGCACTCTTATTTGTGGTAGAGAAGCTGCCAAAAGGACGTAGAGGAAGGAGCATTTAGCCAGGACGTGTCTGTTACTCAACGGTTATGTCACTTTGGGCAAATCACCTTCACCTCTGTGACTGTCAGTTTCCCCATGGGTAAGTGGAGAAGACAGCTCCTTCTCACCATACCTGGGGTTATATGAAACTCGAATGACAGCAAGCAGGTGAAAACCCTTCCTAAAGTGTAAGGAATTATCCAGGCCACCACTCCCTTAAATGGGCCATCTCTACCTATCAGAATGTAAACTCCACGGTTATGCTTTTGCATTTGTATCCCAGTAATTAGAATAGTGCTTGGTGCAGAGTAAGTGCTTTCATTTACTCCTTCATTCATTCACCCTCTGTGAACTGATTATTAATTATTCATAATAAATTAGTCTGGCCATTTAAAAATGGAATATTCTCTTATGCATTGCTTCCAGTCAGAGACAACAGAGCTGGGGCTTGGGGGATGGGGGGAGGGCAGGGCACAATGTTGCCATTCTCCTGGGGTATGATAATCACCTTCCCTATCATCCCACTTAGATTTTTAACGAACTTAGCTTAAAAGTGCCTGCACATATGTGATTTTATTTGATCCTCACAAAATCCTTATGAGAAGGGGAGGTAAGGGTGAGGGCAGAAGGGAACCAGGATTTATTAAGCATCTACTGTGTGCCAAGCAGTGTGCTAAGCCTTTATAAATATGATCTCACTTGATCCTCACCGCAACATGGTAAGGTATGTGGTAAAGGCAGGCAGTATGGGGGCAGTGCGGCATGATGGAATGAATAATCTATTTGGAGTCAACAGGCCTGGGTTTGAATGTCGGCTCTGCCACTGACACCGTGAACCTTGGACAATCAATCAATCAACACATATCTACTAAGCACTCGCTATGTGCCGGGTATACAAAAAAAAAGCAAAACCAGTGCCTTACACTCTAAAGGACAGACAACATGTATATAAATGAATATGTACAAGATACACACAGAGGGGCTGGAAGGGAAGGCATTAAAAGCTGGGGAACCAGTGGCATTTGTGACAAATCTTGAAGGAATCTAGGGGAGCTAGGAAGTGGAGGTAGGGGGACAGGCATAGGGGAAGGCCAGGACAGAGGCAGAGAAACAGAAGATGAAGCATTGGGGCAGCTAGGTGGCACAGTGGATAGAGCACCCAGCTTTGGATTCAGGAGGACCTGAGTTCAAATCTGGCCTCACACATAACACTTACTAGCTGTGTGACCCTGGGCAAGCCACTGCCTAGCCAAAAAAAAAAAAAGATGAAGCATCATGCTGAAACAGCCAGCAGGCTGATGTGGTTGGACAGAGAAGTACCAAGGGACCAAGCTGTGGCAAATTTTAAATGGAAAATAAAGGAGTTTATGTTTGATCCCGGAGGCCAGAGGAAGCTACTAGTATTTTCTGAGTAGGAAGCCTTGGAATTAGGTCACTTAGTTTCCCAAAGCATCAGTTTCCTTGACTAAAAAATAAAAGGGTTACAGAGAAGATAGACTTGGAGGTCCCTTCTGGCTCCAGGAGTAAAAGCCAAATCAAGACCTCTCTGTCTCAATGCCAAATTACACAGCAGATGTACACAAGGCTCTCTCTGGTGTGTGCCAATCATTCTCCACATCTCCTCACTTCACATTCCTGGCTTTAATCCCACCTCTCCCTTTGCCTTGAGACTCCAAAACGGGTGGGCTGAAAGGTCAAAATAATGGCTCCAAGAGATACCTGTCTTATAAATAGACACGGCATCTGGCTTTGCTGAACCTTGGTTTTTTTCTATTAAAAAGGGATACCATCCTTAAGATGTCCTAAGCTCAGCCTCACTGAAAAACCAGGACGCCCCCTCTTCTTCCTTTCAGAGACAGGGCACTATGGGAGCTAGAACTTTCCATGATAGAAGAGCAGGAGAGGAGGGTAGATTGAGAACTAGTTTTAACGTCAGAAAGACATGATTTCAAGCCCCACCTCTGACACATGCTGTCTGTGTGACCCTGGGTAATTTAACCTCTTCGTACTCCAGACAACTCAACAGTGCTGGTAAGGCCGGTAAAGAATTTTACACATTATCTCATTTGATCCAAGAATTAAATTGAATTGTGTATTGGCAGAGGGAACTTCCTCACTGGGAATGTATTTTGCCAATGAAATGGGAAATCTACTGCAAAAAAGCATAACAATTGACTTTTACACAGCATTTTCAGGTTTTTGAAGGGCTCTACACAGCTTATCTCATGTCAACATCACAATAATCCTATGAGCTAGGCATGATGGATATACTTTTTCTGGTTTTACAGAAGAAACTGGGGCTTAGCCAGGTTAAGGTGATCACACCTCTAAACACTATGAGAGGATAAATTTGAAGCCAGGCTTTCCTGATTCCCAATCTAGCTCCCTAAGCCAGGTGGCAACACTGCTTTTGTAAAAGCTCCCATTGGAGTCTAACAGTGAGAATGCAACTACCTTGGCAAACCTGCTACATACGACCAGGAGTCACTTTTGGGACTATATGCTTCCACAGAAGAAAGTGCCCCATTTTCATTTCTTCCACCAACAGCTACCAGCATGTCTGAAATGGAGGCCAAGTAGAAATCCACTCGGCGCTGATTCATGGAAGCCACCTGCAAAAAAGCCATAGTAACTCACTGATCAGGACTCTGAAAAAGATTCAACCCCTGCAGCAGCAAAGAGGAGAAATAGCAGTAACAACTGGCATTTCTGTAGCAAATTAAGGGTTTGCAAACTTTACAAGACCCCATGAGCATTATAGATATTATTACTGTTGCTTTTTTTGTGTGTGGGGGGGAAGGCAATAGGGTTAATTGATTTGCCCAGGGTCACACAGCTAGTAAGTGTCTGAGGCTGGATTTGAACTCAGGTCCTCCCGACTCCAGGGCCAGTGCTCTATCCACTGTGTCACCTAGCTGCCCTTCTCCTTTGCCATGTAGGCTGAAGGAGAAGCAAGATCACTTTTACACATGTGTGTTTATAAAGTAACATGGTGGCATACAAAGGAGGTTAGATTTATAGTCAAAGGACCTGGGTGTGAATCTCAGCTCCTCTGCTTGACTACCCGTGTGACCCTAGGCAAGTCACTCCAACTTTGAGGTTCAGTTTCATCATCTGCAAAATCTGCACCCTGTCCCCTCCCCCAACCTGGCAAGGTGTTCCTGAAGAAAGCACTTTGTAAACCTTACCATGGAATGGGAAGGAGAATCATTATTACTGTAGCTTGTGCCCACCTCAAGTACCCACATTCTTTACCAACAGCCAGTTTCCCCTGGAGCACATGGCTAGGAAGGATAAGAATCAGGATTCTAACCCAGGTCTTGGGAGTCTAAGCCCAGTGCTTTTGCTAGTAGTGGCTCAAAAATGAGGCTCATGATGTTACTGGCTGTCTTTTGGGGGCAATTTCCAGAAATGAGGCCCCAGAATATTTGATGACATGAAGGCATCACTGGACCAAGGGTCTAGACTCCCAAGGGGGACTACTTTAAAGAAACCACAATCCAACTGGAAGCTTAAATTCTAGGGGGTTAGTTTAAAAGTCAGTCGAATGACTTTATTGATCTGCCTCCTCTGGACAGGAGGGATATGCCAACACTCAGAAGGGTAATCTCCCCAGGGAAAAAGAACCAGGGCACGTGTGCACACACACACACACACACACATGCACACGCACACACACATACCACCTAAGAAGGGGGAACTGCAGAGGGTAAAGAATGTCAGTCAGCAAGCATTTATTAAGTGCTTACTATGTACCTGCTACTATGCTAAATTTGGGGTTTATAAAGAAAGGCAAAAACCCGTCCCTGTCCTCAAGAAGCTCAGATTTTAGTGGGGGAAACAACATACAAATAACTATGCAGACACAAGACATAGGCCTCAAGTGGACGGTAATAATAATAGCGATAACCATAGCGCCTGACATGTGCCAGGCACTGTGCAGATATGATCGCATTTGATCTTTACAACAACCCTGAGAGGTAGGTGCCGCTATTTGTCATTACTGCTCTGTCATTTCAGTCACATCCAACTCTTCGTGACCCCATTTGGGGTTCTCTTGGGCAGAGATACTGGGATAGTTTGCCATTTCCTTCTCCAGCTCATTTTACAGATGAGGAAACTGAGGCAGACAGGTCTAAGTGACTTGCCTAGGGTCACACAGCTAGTAAGAGTCTGAGGCCAGACTTGAACTCAGGAAGATGAATCTTCCTAATTCCAGGCCCAGCACTCTGTGCACTGGACCACTTAGCAGCCTTTAGGTGCTGTTACTGCCCCCCTTTTATAGATCAGAAATCTGAGGCAAGCAGAGGCTAAGTGACTTGCCCAGGGTCACACAGCTAGTAAGTGTCTAAGGAAGGTTTTGAGTTTAGGTCTTCCTGACTCCAGCACTCCATCCACTGTACCCTGGCTGCCCCACAGGGCAATCTCAAAGGAAAGGCACCAATAGTAGGGGAGTCTGGGAAAGGCATCTTGAAGAAAGCGGGATTTATGTTGAGTTTTGAAGGAAGCCAGGGAAGCTAAGAGTTTGAGGTTAAGGAAGGAGAAAGGGAGGGAAGGGAGATGGCCAGGGAAAATGCCAAGAAGGAAGATGGAGTCATGGGTGAGGATCAAGTAAGATGAGAGAAACTAGAGGGGAAAGAGGAGGCTTTAGCTCCTTTAGCAATTAAGCGCACACTGGTTTTTCACCCAAGAGGAGGACAAGAAATAAAACATAATGTAAGGATTAAAGGTAGGGACGGGCATCTAGGTAGCACAATGGATAGAGTGCCAGGCCTGGATTCAGGAAGACCTGAGTTCAAATTTGGCCTCAGACATTTACTAGCTGTGTGACTCTGGGCAAGTAATTTTACCTGGTTTGCCTCAGTTTCCTTATCTGTAAAATGAGTTGGAGAGGGAAATGGCAAACCATCCTAGGATCTTTGCCAAGAAAACCCCACATGGGGTCACCAAGAGTTGGACAAGACTGAAAATGATTAAACAAAAACCAAAAAGGTGGTGATGAAAAGAATCCTTAACCAAAAAAGAGAGAAGACAAATTGGGCTTTAATCTCACCTTTATCCACTGGTTCCAGCGGGGATCATACCTATAGAGAAGATTTGAAGCTGCATCCCCTCCATTGTCCCTGGAGAAGCTGCCCCCAGCTATGAAAATGAAGCCTCCCAGCACGGCCACACAGTGATGGCTCCTCCTGGCTGGCAGGGGCGTCTCCATGACCCACTGCTCATTTTTGGCATCCAGAAAGCAGGTGTCATCGCTGAGCTCCAGGCAGCGCTCCGACACCTCCCCGCCCACAAACAGGAGACGCTCCTCGTTGGTGCGCAGCGAGGTGCGTTTGTTCTGCAGCACGGGCTGGGCGGCGACGCTGTTGTGGTAGGTCACGGCTTCCTCGATGAACCCCTCGCAGTTGGCCTCCTTGGGCAACAGCGAGCAGACGGCGGGCTTGACCTCTGTGCAAGAGGTCACTTTTGGGGATCAGCGGGAAATGGATGTTTTCTAGCACCTGGAAGGCGTCTGCCTCCCGCTCCGGATACTGGGTCAGCCACTGGAGGGCTGCCTGCAACAGATCATGCTCACATTCGCGCTGCACCAGGCTGCTTCCCAGGTACTGGCAGAGCTTCTGCAGGGAGACGTTCTGCAGAAAGTCCGGGGTGAAGGACAGCGTCCCAAAGTTGCGCAGGATAAAGGAGTCGATATAAGAGTCCAGACGTTTTAGACTGTAGATGGATGCTAGCTCTTGCAGGTACAGATAATTCTCCTCACTCACCTCATTCTCCAGGTACTCACAGCAGAAATCGACCACCTTCCAGAGCTGCAGAAGGTGAGCAGTCTCTAAGACATAGTCAATGTTACCACCATCTAACGAAAGCTCGCTGCCATAGAGAAAGTCAATGACAGCTCTGAGGCCGATGTACGAGGCTCCGACCAGCTCCACCTCCTTCTGGTAGGCCTCCCGCATACCAATGGTGAACATGGAGTTGAAGTAATCGCTGCACACAGCCAGGAGATTCCGGTGGGCGGGGACCCTCTGTTCATCGGCAACCAGGACGATGTCGCAGAAGAGGCCCCGGTGCCTCTGCTCATTCAGCCTCTGGAGCACCATGTTAGGATGGTCAACCCATCTATATACCTGAAACAAAGAGATCATGTCAAAGCTCTTCTCCCTAGCGGAGGTGGAAGAACGTTGCTCTGGGGAAGCAAGACTGAAAATCCTACCACTTCTGAAATAAGTTCACTGAGAATGAGACCACATTTTCTTTATGCTCCCCAAAGGATGGTACTATGTAAAAAGAATACTCAGCACTCAGTGATAAAGGTGTCTGGCCACCTGATGGAGCAGTGGGTACCCAAGGTCTAAGCAAAAGCCAAGCAAATTTAGGCCTAGGAGTTCTAATTGTCTTCACCAAGGGAATTTTTTGTTGCTGTTCAATTGTTTTCAGTTGTGTCCAACTCTTCATGACCCCATTTGGGGTTTTCTCAGCAGAGATATTGGAATGGTTTACGATTTCCTTCTCCAGCTCATTTTACAAATGAAGAAACTGAGGCTAACAGGGTTAAGTGACTTGCCCACGGTTACACAGCTAGTAAGTGTCTGAGGCCAGATTTGAACACAGGAAGACAAGTCTTCTTGAGTCCTAGCCCAACACTCTATCCACTGCGTGACCTGCCTGCCCTTCAAGGGAATCCTATAGTGCAGACTTGGATTCCTGTCTCCATACTTTAATTCAGCGGTTCTCAAATTTTTTGGTCTTAGGACATTTTACACTAAAAAAAACCCCCCAAAACTGAGAATACCATAAAGAATTTTTGTTTATGTGGATTATATTTATCAACATTTATTCTATCCTGAAATAAAATGTCTTAGTGTTTCAATCTGCCTCTTAGACCTACAAAAGGGTCTCAGGAACCCCAGGTGCCCCTGGGCCATACTCTGAGAACCACTGCTTTATTTTACCTTTGGTTAAAAAAATATGTACTTTGAAAGGCCACTCCCTATCCTCACCATCAGAAGAGTGGGATCTGATGTGGCCTCCTCAGTGAGGCCTTTCCTGCTCTTCCCCCTGTCCTCAGTTCTTAGTGATCCTTTCCTCCAGAAGTACTTTGTTCACCCCTACCTATGTACACATGGGATCCTCTCAATAGAATCTGAGCTACTTAAGGGAGGGATCGTTCAGTTTTCAAATTTTTATTCCCAAGTGCCTTGCTTGCTGAACTACTGAATTGAATGTGTCCTGGCCCTACCACCTGCTAACTGTGTAATCTTGGGCATGACAGGTCAACTCTCTGAGACTCAGTTTTCCCACCTGTAAAATGGGGATAAACATATTCTACCTCCTACCTTATAGGGTTGTTGTGAAGATCAAACTGACTGAGATAAAGATGAGCTGACATGTACAAGGCTTTGAAATCAGCAAGTGTTCTGTCAGGACAAGCCAATGTTATTATAGGCTCCTGTTCTGAGGAACAAATAATGATAACATCTTAACAATAACAAGTCACATTTCCACAGGGTGTTTGGATTTACATAGTGTTTCCCTCACGACAATCCTATAAGGTAAACAGTATAACTATTATCTCCATTCTCCAGATGAGGAAACTGAGGTTCAGAAAAGGGGAGTTAACTATCCCATGATCATCAATGCTAATATCAGAGTGGGTGAATCCAGTTCTTGGGACTCCCAGTCTATCTCTTTTTCCCAATACAACAAGAGGCTACAAAATCATAAGCTGCTAAGTGATCAACAAAAATTGACATTTATATACCTTTTTAAGATTTACAAAACCTCACCCTCATAACACCTTGAATTGAGTTACACAGTACAGGTATTCTTTTCCCTTTTCCAGATGAGAAAACTGAGGTTCCCAGTGGTTCAGTGACATGCCCACAGTCAGGATTCAGACTCAGGACACCTGATTTCCAGTCCCATATTCTTTTCTACTAGGCCACACAACTCTTACCAGCTGAGGCATGTAGGTGGCACAGAGGATAGAGTGTTACAGTTGGAGACGGGAAGACATAAGTTCAAATTCCATCTCCGACACTTTGGACTTTGGACAAACCACTTCACCATTATCAGCCTCAGTTTCCTTATCTGGAAAATGGGGATAATAATAGCACCCACCTCCCTGGGTTGTGAGGACCAAATGAGATAATCTTTGCAAAGAGCTTAGCACACAACAGGCACTATACAGATATTAGCTTTTACTTATATGGCACCTAGTTCAGAAGGTTGCTGTGAGGATTAAATGAATTAAGATTTGTAGGCTTAAAATGCACTGTTAAGTGCTGGCTATTATTATCATTATGATCAAAAGATCATAGATGCAGAACTAGAAGGAAATTTGGGACTCACTGGGTTTAAGCTCCTCATTTTACAGATGAAGAAATGGAGACTCAGAGAGGTTAAGTGACTTGCCCGGGGTCACACAGCTAAGGACTAGAATGTAGAATACTTTAAGGTTTGCAAAGTGCTTTACATAGATGATCTCATTTAACTCAGCTGGAAAGTGTCTGGTGCGGGATTTTTTTTGGGGCGGCAACTGGAGTTAAGTGACTTGCCCAAGGTCACAAAGCTAGTGAGTGTCTGAGGTCACATTTGAACTCAGGTCTTCTTGAATCCAGGGCCGTATTTTATCCACTGAGCCATGTAGCTACCTTTGGGGTGGGATCTGAACCCAGGTTTACGAGACTCTAAGGCCCGCCCTCTCCACATCTCTGTGATGCTCTATAGTAAGCACAGTGATTTGATCTTCTTTGGGGGGTAAGGAAAGGCTTGGGTTTTACATGTCGCTTTCTTTGCCACAAAAGCTGCTCGCTCTCATCACCTTCACTTGTAATGGAAATAAAGCAGTAAAAATGGAGGACAGGGAGAGTGTGGTCCTGCCATATTCCCAGTGTGTCCAGGGAACAAAAAGCAAAACCGCTGCTCTCTAAGTAATCCGCCCCTTTGACTGGAGCCAGCTAGAAAGTGAGAGCAAATCTCCTAGAGATCCACGTTCTGTCCACTCTGTCCATAGCAGCTGCTGCCCCCTTGTGGCTATTGATGACACAACTTCTCTCACTGTTTTTAAAGCACTTTATTAAAAAAGTTGATTTCATTTAACCTTCTCTTCCATGACTGTTTCTGTGACTCAGGGCTTGTTTATCTAAATGTGCAATTCTTGACACCTGAAAGCAAAAGCCAACATTACAGTTTCAGACAAAGGCCTGGGAGGATTCTTACACGGCTTGGGAAGGCTCTGCTGCCACAGGCAGGCTATGAGTCATTGGTGATAGGAGATAAAAAAGCCAACTAAAGGCTGCAGTGGAAGCAGCTAGGTGGCACAGTGGCTAGAGCACCGGCCCTGAAGTCAGGAGGACCTGAGCTCAAATGGGACCTCAGACTTGACACTTACAAGCTGTGTGACCCTGGGCAAGTCATTTAACTCCAATTGCCTAAAAAAAAGGCTGCAGCACAGGAGGTTAACCTGTCTCTGAGGGCCTGAGCACAAACGGAGGAGAAAAGTAAACTTCTAATTTGCTCCACAGTAGTGAGGGACGTCTGAGTAGTACTGTGGGATTTCAGAGACCAATGAGGAACACCACAGAAGACATCTCAATGGTCTGGGAAGAGGCTAAGGTTAAGTCTTGAGTCTTTCTATGCCCAGGATCGTGATTCTGGAGATAGAAAGGATTTGAGGCCATTAAGGCCTTATTTTATAGGTGAGGAAACTTAAAAAGGTTAAGTGATTTACCCAGTGCCCATCATGGAAGAGGGCCACAGCTAAGGACTCCGAGGGCAACAGAGACCTACAGTCCTCACCCTTTAGAAATGCAGAAACAATCTGTGAGCTCCTGGTGGCTATTTAGACTGTAACAAATAGAAATGGCCTGACTTTGAAGACAGTCACAATGAAAACTTCCATAGAATCAGTCTCAGAGCTGGGAACTCAACAGCTATCTAGTCTTAACTTATTCAGAAAAAAGAATTCCCACTATGTCACATCTGTTGAGTGGGTCTCCAGGCTTTGCTGGAAGTTCTTCAGGGAGGGGGCGGAGCCACCATGGCTGGGAGGCCAGCCCATTCCACTTCTGACCAGCTCTCATTGGCCTCAGGAAGCTGTGCCTTCCATTGAACCTAAATGTCTTTTCCCAACTTTCATCCATTGCTCCAAATTCTGCCCTCTGGGGCCAAGCACAGTAAGTTTAATTCTCCTCTCAGAAGACAAGTTTCTGATTAATAAGGTAGTAGAGCCTTAATTGGCTCATGGGCCGAAGGTTGTACAGATCTGCTTTAATATGAAGCAAGTATGGAATGAGATTTAAGATGGAGGCAGCAGGGTGTGGAAAGCATGCTAAATGACTGCACGTGTCTAACCTATATCAAACTGCTTGCCTCTCAACAAGGGGGGAGGGAAGGGAGAGAATTTGGAACTCCACTTATAAAGGAACTTTTAAAGGATGAATATAAAAAATTCTTCTTACATATAATTGAAGAAAAATAAAGTATATTGGGCTCAAAAAAAAGAAAGGAAGGAAAGAAGAGACAGAAAGAAAAAAAGAAAGCATGCTAAGCTTGAAGTTAGAAGACCTGAGTTCAAATTTGGCTCTGATCCTTACTACCAGTATGACTTTGGGCAAGTCACTTTGCCTACCTAGGCCTAACCTCCCTCATTTGGACAAGATCAGGGTTCAGAGAACTATATTTTTGTATGCCAATATTTTACCTAAAAATGAAAAAACTCATTCTTGGTCCTGTGGTTGTACAAAAGCAGGTGGTGAGCAGATTTAGCCAGGCTAGTCTTATGCCACCTCATTCACTATCGGGGTGGGGAACCTGTGGCCTTGAAGCCACATGCGGCCCTCTCGACTGAAGTTTCCCCATGCCTGCACTAGATGGTCTCCTGATGCCCTAAATCTTATGATCCCATGAACAGGAATGCCCAGGGATCGCCCTTTTAGAAAGGCAGGCTGAGTGTTAGGGTCACATCCCAGGTTCTTAGAGGTGCTATTTGAAGTCATCCAAGCTGCCCCAGCCACTGTTTGGTAGAGAGAGCTTTCAGTGAGACCTCGCCAATTCTCAATCTTCAAATCAGGGACCACAAGTATTCTTTCCACTGACTCACATTCAGATTGAGTGGAGCTGATGTCGGGCCAGGGAGGTTCCTAGACTTAAAGGAGGAGAATAGTGGACCTAACTCTCAGTGTTAATATCAGATGGTTTCCTAGGGCTCTGCTCCTCCTTGTCTACCCAAGTGACAGGAAAGAGAGAACCCTTCTGCTCCCCCAGGATTCCTTGAATCCCAGCCTTTGTAGTAAACCACTATATACCTAGGATCTGGCCTCAGACACTTACTAGCTGTGTGACCTCGGGCAAGTCACTTAACTAACCCTACTTGTGTCAGTTTCCTCATCTGTAAAATGGGGATAATAATAGCAATGGTAACAATATATTACTATGTAATGTTATATAATAGCAACAGTAACAATATATTGTTGTGTAATATATCATATGTTATATAACAATAGCGCCGACCTCCCAGTGTTGCTGTAAGAATTAGACAAGATAATAATTCTAAAGTACTTAACACAATGCCTGGCACATAGTACGTGCTATATAAATATTAACTATTGTTATTATTATTGTTAGGAGGATTATATAAAGTCCTACTTTAAGGCAGAGTAATTTACTCCAAAATCTCTTAGATTTCTATGAACCTTGGGCATACTACTACCTTTCAGTATGATGTCAAATGTTGTAGATATTAGTTATTTAGCAAACACTTGCTCTGCGTAGAATACTTGTGGAGTCCTGGGGGACATACAAAGTTTAGATAAATGTGGTTTCTTCCCTCATGGAAATTACAGAGTCTAGCGGGGAGATAAAATGCAACAAAATGTTCAACTGATACTTACTAAGCTTCATGACCCTGGGCAAGTCACTTAACCCTGTTTGCCTCAGTTTCTTCCTCTATAAAAAGGGCTGAAGAAGGAGATGGCAAACCACTCCAGTATCTCTGCCAAGAAAACCCCAAATGAGGTCGTGAAGAGCTGGACATGACTGAAATGACTCAACGACACCCAAACGATCATTTAGTTAAATTAGTACTGTAGTCAACTAGTTCAGAGGTGTCAAACTAGCTCCTAAATGTGGGCCCAAATTAAAATGTAATTGGAAAAATGTTTAACAAAATTAAAAAAAAAAACAACACAGATAATGTTAAGTTGCACTTTTCTAAGTCAATACGCAGATCTGTTTCTATTAGAATTTGACACCATTGAATTAGACAATAGGTGAAATCATACCCCCCAGTGTCGAAAATATCAGACTGGGAAAGTAGTATGCCAGCAGTGGTAGAGTGGAATGTTAGGCTTGAAACCAGGAAGATCAGAGTTCAAATCCTGTCTCTGACACTTATTAGCTGTGGACCCTGGGGCAAGTCACTTAAGGTCTATGTGTCTCTGACAGCAAACCAGGATCATAGAATCACAGACTTAGAGCAGAAAGGGGTTCATCTCGTTCAGGGGTCCTTAACCATTTTTGGTGTGCTGGCAATCTGGTGAAGTCTGTGGATCCCTTCTAAGAATGTTTTTAAATGCGTAAAATACATAAAACCAATTATCTTACAATATAGTTATTGAAATATTAAAAAACAACAAGAAGTCAACTGATTCCTAACCTTTAGGTTAGGAACCCCTGATTGAGTCCAACCCCTAGAGGTTGAGTGACCTGCCCTGGGTGACACAGCTAGGAAGTACTTAATGTGGGATTTGAACCCTGGCCTTCCTCCCTCTACGTCCCACATTATCCACTTCACTCTGCCAAGTGATAGGTCTCTATCTGCTTGGTGGACAGAATAATTCCCACATCAAAAGTTCCCTACAGCTGACCAAATCACAGAACCTTCCCATATTTGCATAACCTATTAACTTAGATATTCTTCCTTAAAGAAAAATTATTCATAGAGTTTTGAAATAGAAATATTACAAGTTAAACGAGCCAAAGCATCGTTAAGTGACTAACCAGTCCTTTCTAAGCTCCTACAATTTGTTTTAAACAGCCATTTAAAATTGTTACTGAATGAGTCTTACAAAGTGGTATATTTTACAAAGTCTGGTTCGAAGAGAGCTTGGAGGGAATCCAGTCAAACTCCATCTTTTTATGGATGAGGAAATAGTCTAACTTGCCTTAAGCCATACAGGTAGTAAAGAGCTGAGCTAGTATCTGAAGCCAAGTCCCTTGAGTCTAAAATCAACAAATCTGGTGAGCTCGGCCTGGTGGTATGGGCCTGAAGGCCCTGCTACTGAGGAGACTGGAGCTGGTGGCTGACTTGAGCTGGGGAATTCTAAGCTGTAAAGTAGAGCTAAAACAGATGCCTTCTAGCTGTGTGATCCTGGGCAGGTCCCTCAAACTCTCTGGGCCTCAGTTTCTCAACTGTAAAATAAAGGGGTTGGATTCAATCAGGGAGTCCTAACTTGGAGGCTAGAGCAGGCTAGGAATCTGTACTCTTGCTCTTTTTTTTTCTGTTCACACAAAATTTGGCACCAATAAAGTAAGCCCCTGGGAATGGCGGCAAGAAAACTGGCTTAAACTAGTCTAAGTCAAAAATGGAGCACGTTGAAGCTTTTCTGTTCTTCAGCAGTGAGATAGGGCCCATGAATGGCCACCGTACTTTCAGCCTCTGTTAGATGGGGAAATCTAGTCTCAAAAAAACAAAAGGTTTCTCCTGCTTTTTTGAATAACTGGAAATATGCTTCCCATATTCATAATCTGGTTTAAATTTAAAGTACACATCCTATTTTGCTTTAAACACAATCTCTTTTACTCTGTCCTTTAGATAAGTTATCAGTGGTCAGTTAGGGCAGCTAGGTGGTGCTGTGGATAGAGCACTGGGTCTGGCATCAGGAATACCTGAGTTCAAATCCAGCCTCAGACACTTACTAGCTGTATGACTTTGGACAAGTCACTTCATCCTGTTTGCCTCAGTTTCCTCATCTGTAAAATGAGCTGGAGAAGGAAATGGCAAAGCACTCCAGTATCTTTGCCAAGAAAACTCCAAATGGGGTCACAGAGAGTCGTTCACAACCGAAATGACTCAACGACAACAAAAAATCAGTGGCTAGTATCTCTCCTTCTCTTTCTAAACCAGGCAGAGCAAATAACACCTCTTCAAATAAAACTTTACTCACTGGTCTTAGTGAAAAATGGGAGTACTTCCAAAAATGAAAATCTGAATTCATTTCTCATTGCGTCAGAAAGCAAAGACTCGGGAAACATTATATATAATGTTTGGGAGGAGGAGGAAATTGGGGTTAAGTGACTTGCCCAGGCTAACACAGCTAGTAAGTATCCGAGGTCATATTTGATCTCAGGTCCTCCTGATTCCAGGGCCACTGTTCAATGCATTGTACCACCTAGGGGCCCCATCATTGCACATAATGTAAGACTCTTCTAGATCTATGATCAGTTTTGCTGAATTTTTTTTTCTCCCCCCTTAAATTTTTTTTGTTTATAAGGGCTCACTTTCTAGGAAGAGAAAGGGAGGGACATACTGGGAAATATAAGAAATGGCAAAACAAAATACGTTAAAAAATTTTTAAAGAAAAAATGTTAAAGTCATGCCTGGGGTAGAGAAGCATTCCAGGCACGTACCAGTCACCATGCATAGCTAAGCACCATGTTGTCTAAGCAGCCACCCTCAATGTCACAAGCTGACCAAAGGGTGCTCTCAGTTCACATGTCCCCAAAAGCCCTAGGGGCCTTAGGGACCTAACTTTGGAGTGCAGTGAGTAAAAGCTGGGAGGGCCATGGATAGCTAGAGGACTCCAGGCAAGGAGGAGTAGAGAGAGTTGGAGAAATCCACTGTCCCCCTCCTTTTTTCAGGCTGGCAAATGGCTTTACTGAGTTCTTGACTGTTCAGGAAAGGCATCTTCTACACATTTTACATCTGTTTATATGTGTACATGTTGCACAATTACTGTGTATCTATTCGTATGTGTACATGTTATCTCCTCCATTAAGAGTATACTGCTTGAGGGCTTGCCTGATTTATTTTTGTCTTTGTAGCCTGATTGCCAAGCACAGCCCTAGGCACATAGCAGGTGGTTAATAAATGCTTATTGATTGATTGGTAGTTCTCACTCTGCTTTATGACCCTGAGCTTTCCCTCTCTGGGCATCAGCTTCCTATCTATAAGATTAGATGATTTCTGAGGTCTCTCCCAACATTCTATGATTCTCCTCCTTCTGTTCTGCCAAGCTTAATATGAAAACACCTCCTGTCTGCACTTTAAAGATAATAATCTAAAATCAGGTCCTGGGGAGATTGTGCATGTCGAATACTTAACAGAGAAACAGTAAAGCACACGGGCTAAATGTCTGGCCAGTAAGAGCTGGGTTCAAATCTCACCTCTGACACATACTAGCTACATGACCACGAATAAAACAATCTCAGCTGTTTTGTCTTAAGAGACTATATAGCTGAGTAACAAATCTGCATCAAACTTCTGGAGGAAGTTTTCAGACCAAGAGCTCCCTACGCTGATGAAATCAGTGTAGTAAAGTAGAATAAGCATTTCTTCTGGAATCTGAGGATAGAGGTTCAAATTCTGCCTTTGATAAATTCCTGTTTTGAATTTATTCAATTAATGTTTAAAAAAATGTTACTACATGACAATAATTTAAATCAGACAACACATATATTCTACTATCTGAGTGACTGGTGACAAGTCATTGAGTCACTGACTTTCCCTGGGCTTTAATTTTCTCATTTATAAGATGAGAGGGTTGGGCTAGATGGTCTCTGAGCCAGAGCTGATTCTATGATCCTACAACCCAGGTCCAGATCCAAAAAGAAGAAAGAGGCTATCAGAGTCTGGAGGTATATAATTCACAAACACACACCTTTGAAGACTCGCTGATCTTGTATGGACGAGACACTCTTGTCTGTCTGGCCCCCTCCATTATAAAGTGATTGGGAGTATTCCTACAACAATAGAAAAGAGCATTATTGAGCATACAATAGTATTGTCATTTACTAAATTCACATGGAACTGGCATACAGATACAGTCACTAGAAGCAAAAGGGTGGGAAGCCATGGAAAGAATGAGGAGACTAGACTTTAAGATAGAGATGGAATCTAATTACCAGTTTTCTTTTAAATCAAGTTATAGTGAAGAATCACACGTAGTTAATGAATACTCTCCATCTTCTATTTCCCAGAATACCCATCTGCAAATCATCGCCATATCTTTTGTGGCCTGTTGGCCATGACACATGCAGCTCTGTCCCTTGTCTGAATCAGAACCCCTAAAAGGAGGATTGATGCGGGCGTCTGAAGGAATCCTAAGAATGAATATGTATGTGTTATGTATACACAAACATTATTGAATGGCTAAATACATTTTAGAAAATTTCTTAGAAAAGTGTGACCTTAGGGGCAGCTAGGTGGCAGAGTAGATAGAGCACAGGCCCTGGAGTCAGGAGAACCTGAGTTCAGATCCAATCTCAGACACTCACATGCTACTTAGCCCCCCCCCCCAAAAAAAAAACACCCAAACAAACTGTGGCCTTGCTCAAATTTCAAGGTGTAGGCAGGACAATGTGTATTGGAAACATAAGTTCAACAATTATTAAGTGCCAATTGTATGGGTACAAAGATAAAAATGAAAGTTCTTGCCTTCAAGGGGTACCCTGCCTATTGAGGTGGGGGTGAGGACATCAATGGTAAGTGTTTGTTGAATTAAGGAGGATTCTGGTACATTGCTCTGTCAAAGTGGTAACTTTAGGCAAGTCACTTGACTCCTATGGGCTGTATTTTCCTCATCTGTAAAGTGAGCCAGGTAGATCTGATCATCTCTGGGGTTCCTGGCATCTCTACCAGTCCACAAAACCGGGCAGATAGCTGTTGATAGGTTTTGTGGGGGAAGAAGAAATATGGAAGACAGGCGCACACAAGGAGTGGGCAGGGGAAGATCAGTTAGGTAACCCAAAGCACTGCCCTCTTACCTGGCCTGACTTCAGCAGATTATCTGGGGGTTGAACTGCCTAAGTACAGGGTAACCTGGAGAAGGTCCAGGTATTGCCCCGTGGAAGAGTAAGAACCAGCCACCCAGATTGCAAGGCAAGCAGGCATGAGCTCAACACTTGTTCAGGGCCCACTGGGACCAGGAGAAAAGGGCTGGCAGTCTTTAAGATTCAATTTTCTGGGTGGAGTAAGTCCAGAAAAAAATAAAGGCAGGTTTTACCTGAAGGTCCTGCTCCCACCTCAAGGGATCGCACAGGACAATAGCCGCAGATTCAGAGGATATGGGTTCAAATTCTGGCTTTGCTACCTACTGGGTAACCCTGAGCAAATGACTTGCTCACTCTGGAGTTCAATCTCCTCCTCTATTAAAAAAAAGGGGATTGAAAGAGGGGGCTAAGGTCCCTCCTACCTCTAAGTTCTATGACCTAAGTAGAGGAATCCAGCGCTAAGCTCCGTATCCTCCCCCGAGCTTCTTAAGCAGTTCTTCAGGGGCTGCCCTGGCAATTCTGGGTAACGGGGGGCGGCGGTTCCTGGCTATGGACAGGCAGTTCTCTCTCTACTTCCCCCCACATACACCCACACATCCAAATCCCAGCCATCCAAAGCCTTCCCTTCGCCAAAAACAAAATAACTCCCCCCACCCCCCCAACCCAAACAAACCGCGTTCCCTTCCAAGATCTAAACATTCATTAAACAGCTACTGCGTACAGGCTCGGGGGGGAGAGACAAAGTTTGGGTAAAACACCATCCCTGCTCTCAACTAGCTTGCAGTCTAGTTGGAGGACAAGACACAAAGGAAAACAGAAGAAAAGGCGCCTATTCAACAGATTTGAGGAATTTACTTTAACCCAAAACGCACAACTGGATCATTAAGATTTACATTCTTGTAGGGGGCTGGGCTCTAGACTTGACAACCCAGGCAGAGGTAAGGAGGCGGGAGGGGGGAGGGAGGTCAGCCAGCTGAAAGGCAGGGATAAAGATTCTGGGTCCAAGCTGGACCTCTGACTGCAAGGGGAATTGGAGTGGGGGTTTCCATGCATTGAGAAGGGGGCAGCTGGACCAAAGGATGCAAAGTGAGAACGGAGGGAGGAAGGGAGGAAGGGCAGGAGGCTCGGGAGCTGGCAGAGGAGACAAGCGGACCAACCTGCGGAGGTGAGCGCGGCGCGGGCGGCCGCCACTACAGGCTGGCCGGAGCAGCACCGCCGGCTCCCGGGCTGAATCCCGATCCCCGGCCGGAGCGGCCGGGCGGCAGCAGCGCGGCCGGCCCTCCACCGGCTAGGTCCACAGCCATGGCTCCGCCAGGAAGTGCTGGGCCGAGTGAAGCGGAGGCCGGGCCAATGAGCGCGCTGGAAGCGAGGGGCGGGGGCCCTGGAAGAGGTGGGCTCAGCTCGGGGCCAGCTGACGCCGCCCGGCCGCAAACAAACAACCAGCCAGCCGGCCGCCTCCGCCTCTCCTTCCTCCCTTCGCCCTCCTCCATCCTCCCTCCTCCCCCTCCTCCTCTTCCTCCTCCTTGCTCCCTCCTTTTCTACCTCCTCTCTTCTTCCTCCTTCGTTTTTCTCCCTCTTCCTCCTTCCCTCCTCCCTTCTCCCTCTTCTTCCTCCCTCCTCTCTCCTTTCTTCCTCCTCTTTCTCCGTCCTCCTCCTCCCTCCTCCCTTTTCCCTCCACTTACCTTCCTCTCTTCTCCCTCCTCTGTTTTTCCTTCTCCTTCGCCCCTCCTTCTCCCTCCTCTTCCCTTCTCCCTCCTCCTCTTCCCTTCTCTTCCCTTCCTTTCCCCTACTCTTTCTCCCCCACATCCTTCCTCTCTCCTTTTCCTCTTCTTTCTCCTCCCTCCTCTCCTCTGTCCTTCTTCCCTTCCTCTCCCTCTCTCCTCCTCCCTCTTCTTTCCTTCTCTTCTTCTATCTTCCTCTCCTCTCCCTCTTTCCTCTCCCTCCTCCCTCCCAAAAGTCCAGGGGGGCTTTTGACCTGGATGGGGCCCTGCTGCTGACCCACTTGGGGCAGGCATAGTGTGGGTAGGGTGGACAGGGGGAAGGAAATCTTTGGAACCCAGTATCTCAAGACCATAGAATTTACGGCTGGAGGGGACTCTCCTACTCCAGACTCCCCCCCCCCTTTTTTTCAAATGAGGAAACTGAGAGCTATACTCCTAGGTGCTGGGTGTGAAGTGATTTAGAATTCCGGGATGATAGAGTCAGAGCTGGAAGAGACCTTAGAAATCATATAACCCAACTTAGAAGTCATATAGCCCAACTCATTTGACACATAAGGAAACTGAGGCAGGCCATTAGAATATGTGTTCCTGAAGGCCAGGGACTGTTTTTGACCTTTTTTACATCCCAAGCTCTTAGCACAATGCCCGGCACATAATAGGCATTTAATAAATACTTGTTTACTGACTGAATGACTGGCTCCAGAGAGTGGCTATGGCAGGTGTGGTGAAGCCAGGTTCTCAGACTCCAAATCCCTCAGTCTTTCCACGCCAGGCAGGCTCTCACTCACTGCTAAGTGCCAGAGTTAGGACTTGATCCCGTGCTGTCAGTTCTAAGACCAGTTCTCTTTCCAGGCCACCAAAACCTGAGATAACAATTGTAAACTCCAGGAGATGCAATGCAAACAGCAGATACTCCACAGTGAGACTCAACTTGCTCACAAAAGTCTGTATTTCAATGGCCAAGACAGGATTTGAACCCAGGTCAGCCAGTCAATAACCATTTATAGAGTGATACTTTGTTCCAGGTAAAATGCTAAGTCCTGGGGGTTACAAAGAAAGGCAAAAGACAGTTTCTGCTCTCAAGGAGCTCGCAGAACTCGGACAGGGAAGCAATGTGGAAACAGCTCTATAAAAACAGTGTTCTTTCCATGATTCTAGACCATCTCATTGAGGCCCCACAAGTAGCAAATAACAGAGATGGGATTCTAGGCACAGAGAGAAGAAAGTGACCCAATTTTTATACTCCTTTTTAATCATTGGAAGTCTTGGATATTTCTATGTTCATTATTGTCAGGTTTTTGTTTGTTTTGTTTTGTTTTGCCCAGGCCTATGATTCCAAAGGTATATAGGGAGCTCCCAGATGAGAAAACTCCCTTTCCCCATGGAAATCAGCAATATTTTCAATTTATAGAGTTGCCTAGGGAATTGGAACGTTGACTTACTCTGGGTACATAATATGTGTCAGAGACAAGAACACAGACTTTGAGGGCAGCTCTCCATGTTTTCTTCGGACAGGTTGTACCTCATTTTTCTCAAACAGCATTATTGCCAGCAGGCATAACTGTGCTCCTAGAGATGTTGTCATCCTTTTTCTAGAAGTCTGGGACCCAAAAGGCCTGATGTTTCTTTGGCATGATTTTTCCTGCTTTCTTGTTGGGACCCGCTTCTGCCAACCTGGGAAAATCTTGGTTTATAGCTGGTTAGATAGGGAAGGGACTTTAGAAACTGCTGAACCTAATCTGCTCATTTTACAGAGGAAGAAACTGAGGCCCAGAGAGATTAAAGAAATTAACTTAAATAAGGAGTGCCAGAGTTGGGACTCAAACCCAGGTCACTGAACTCCTGGCCTTGTGCTGTATCCGGTGTACCACACTGCCTTGCTAACGCTAGGCAGCTGAGAAGACCGAGTCTGAATCTGGATGGCAAACACTAAGCACCTAGCCTAGGTGTCTGTGGTCATGTTGGCAGCTGATTGAATTAGGCACCATTAGGAAAAGATCTGCCTGGATCCACTTAAGCTCGTCCCTAGCCCCAAGCTTCTCTGATCAGTGCCTTAGGGAACAGCTGGCTTGAATTTATAAAGCTCTTTAAGGTTTGCAAAGCGCTTTGCAAATATCATTTCATTTTATCTTCACAAAAGAAGAAAAAAACCCCAGGGTAGCAGGTGCTATCATTACCCTATCCTGTTGTTGTTCATCCATCCTTCATCTCTAAGAGGACCAATGACATCATGAGGGTGATGTCTTGACTCGCATGTGAAACCCGATGTGGATGTGGAAACTGAGGCAGACAGAGGTTAAGTGATTTGCTCAGAGTCACATAACTAGTGAGCTAGTGAGACTAGATTCAAACTTAGATCTTCTTGACTCCAAGTTCAAGTCCAGAAGTCCACAAGCATTTAAGAACCTGCTATGTGCCAGGCACTGTGCTAAGAGCTAGAGATACAGAGACAGGCAAAAAACCAGTCCCTGATCTCAAGAAGCTCACAGTCCAAAGAAGGAGATGATGTGCAAACATCTACAAACAAGATATACACAGGAGAAATTGGAGATAATTTCAGAGGGAAGATTAAGGAAGA